TGTGTGTATCTGAGAGAGAGAATGTGATTGAGAAAGAGAGTTAGAGATAGGATGTGAGAGAGAGAAAGAGAGAAAATATAAGTGAGAAACAGAGAGGAAGTGTGTGTGTGATATAGAGAAAATTAGAGAGAGGATATGGGTGTGTGTGTGTGTGTGTGAGAACCAGAGAGAGAGAGAAAGAGTGTTTGCATGTAGGTGTGAGAAGGGGATGGAAACTTAGAGAAAGGATGTGCGTGTGTGTGTTTGAGAGAGAGGGGGAAGGAAAGAGAGAGGGGGAGAAAGAGAGGGAGTGTGTGTACCCAGCTCAGACAGCCACCTCGCCTCACAACACTGAAGAATAATAGAAAGATTCTGCTCCCCTAAATGGGCTCTCTCGTCACCATAACTAAAATTTCTTATCACGAACAACAACAACAACTACTACCACCACCGCTACTACTACCATCTTAACGACTACCGTTGTCACTCTTACCACCACTATCAATATCACCATCATCACCACTACCACCACCACCACTGTAAACACCACCATCCCTATTCCCATTACTACCACTACTAATTCACCATCACTATCACCATCACAACCACCATTCCCACTACTACCATTACCAGCATCACCACCACCACTACCACCACCACCACCTCCGCCACCACCACCACTACCAGCACCACCACCACCACACGGCCAATCTTAATTCAGCCTTGTACCCCCATCCCCCCCAAGTCCTGTTAATATTCACACCCTCGAGGCCAAGATAGTCGTCACACACTCCTCTTAAAATGGTAATTTCCTTAACAACGTCTGTAGTTAACATGTTAATGAAGTCTTATTCAGCTACCAAAAAAAAACTCTTCAAATAGGTTCATAATTTTAGTCTTGGTAAAAATAAAAATAAAAACAAGATGGCGTCGGGAATGTACTTGTGAGACTCTATTCTTATGTGACATCGACAGTACTTTTGAGAATCCATCTTTGTATCTTACCTTAGAGAAACATTACAAGACTCTGAGAATCCATCTAATGCTTGGACGGTATTGTAGTGAGAGGTGTTTGTCTTAGCCGTGTCTTAATTATCTCTCTCAATCGTCTCTCATTCTCTCTGTCTTAACTTACTGTATCTCTTAACGTCAGCACATGTCAGCACTCCTTCACCTTACCCCTACGTCAGCTCGCTTTTATTTAGTACAACTAGACCAACTCCTTTTCTTATTTGTATGTTAATGTTTCTCCTTGTTAGCCTGTGTGTGGGGGGGTGCGCGTTTACCAGTTTACCAGGTGTTTCTCTCTCTCTCTGTCCCTCTCTGTCTCTCTCTGTTTTAGTGAGTTAATGAATAAATAAAGACAGAACACAATAACCTGTCTGCCAGGTGTGATTACTTAGAAAGTCAGCTGAGAAAATCGTTAATCTTTTCCAGCTAAATTATGCAGTTGACCTTCACGATACTTTAGCATTTACCAGCTAAATTATGCAGTTGACCTTCACGATACTTTAGCAACCCCGCCGACTATGTAACATTTACGGTATATTATTTTGACCTTGACCTCCGACCTTACTAAATGGCCCCTCAAATTGATGTTATGTGTTAATGGTGATAGTTATTGTTGTTCTATATGTTGTTTGTGTCTAAAGAGCATTTTTTTTGTACGTTTGGCATTGTTATAGTGTTGTTGTGTGGTGCCCGTTTGCTGGGAAAATATCTCGTACCGTAGACTGTCAGGGAGACTTCACAACTTGACCCTTTGTAGTTTGTTATTTTTCTTGTTCTTGCGCACGTCTTACACCTTCTGCAGGATTGGAATATCCAGAGCCACAAATTGCTACAGCTCTACATAGGGAAATGACGTGAATTAACCATATCTATTGTTGCTTAGAAACTTAATTTAATTCTGCTGTGTACTGTCGTTGCCCTTTTTTCAACCCCTTAAGTAAATTTATGTTAAAAGAGAGTTAAGTATACCGTACGTGAGTCATTGGGATAGTGAAAATACACTCTTCAATATGGTATCAACGTCCGCAAAAGATTATTTTCGTTTCCTCTAAAATAAACAGTGATTGGCTGACAGGATTACTGGTGATCAGCCAGAGCCAATAAGGAAACGCTAATGCAGTTACGTCTGACCAATCAGTGCGCCAGAAACCAATTTTCCCGCGTCTTGGTGGCTTTAGACGGGAAACTTGATCTATTTACATTCTCCTTCAATAGAATTTGGGACCACCTGAAGATTAGACACCCCAGCTTATTTCACTTGAAGATTAATCACGCTGCCCTAGCCTACCATACCCTACCCTACCCGAACCTACCCTATCTTACCTTACCCTACCTTACCCTACCATACCTTGCCCTACCCGAACCTACCCTACCCTACCCTACCTTACCCTACCCTACCCTACCCTACCTTACCCCTACTCCCCACCCTACCCTACCCTAAAACCACCCTACCCTAACACCCTACCCTACCCCTACCCTTACCATAACCCAACCTAACACTACCCTCACCCTACCCCACCCCTACCCTACCCTACCCTACCCCCACCCCACCCTACCCTCCCACCCTAAACCAATCTCTTACCCTAACACTACTCCCCTACCCTACCCCACCTCTACCCTACCCTACCCCACCCTACCCCTACCCTAAACCACCCTACCCTAACACTACCCCACCCTAACACTACCCTACCCCACCCTAACACTACCCTACTCCCTACCTTACCCCACCCCACCCCACCCTACCCAAAACTACCCACCCTACCATACCCTACCCTACCCGAACCTACCCTATCTTACCTTACCCTACCCTACCTTACCCTACCATACCTTGCCCTACCCCTACCCTTACCCTACCCCACCCTACCCTAAAACTACCCTACCCTAAAACTACCCTACCCTAACACTACCCTACCCTACCCTACCCTACCACAAAACTAACCCTCCCCTGACCGAACCTAACCCTCCCACGTAACGTTAGGGTGATTAATCTTCATGAGAAATATGCTTGGTTGTCTAATCTTAAGGTGTTCCTAATTTGTGTAATCATCGCTTGAGAACACTACTTTAATTTCGCCTAAAAACACCAAATACTTCTAAACATTGGTATTTAAATTATGTTGACAAAAAAGCGTTAAGTATTTTTTTTAAGTATTTTTTGTTCATGACTTGATTTTTCTTTCTATAATTTTGGCTAAATTCCTTCCTCTTCTCTCTCCCTCCGTCCCTCCCTTTCTCCCTCCTTCCCTCTCTCTTTCTTCTTCCTTCCCTTCTCCCTCCCTCTCCCCTTCCTGTATACTGCTGACACACACACACACACACACACTAGTCGTAACTAGCGGCTTAAATATACTGTACTTTATTACTTTATACACAAATTTTTCCACTTTCCTTGAAAATAAATTTAGAATAAAAAAAATAAAAAATAGGAAAATAATTAATTTATAGATACTTGTGCAGTAGATACCTTCACTATACTAACACAAATAACGAAACAAGTTCTTGGGTCTATTAAATCAATAGTAAAAAATTTTAACTTGTGTAACCAAAATAACTATAGTTTACCTAAATTTAAAATACATTTTCTTTGATATCGTTTTCTTTCATACTTAAGTGTAAACTATTATATTTTCTATACCATCTTTCAATCACGTGGTTTAAAAGATAGACAGACAGAAATGGCATTCAGGATGTACCTAGACGGTGCAGATATATAAACATTGGTAAAAAGTAAGTTGATTTAACACAAGTGATCCTAGAGAAGCTGTTAAAGGTTTAGTTCTATTGGGGTAAATTCCACAGTTTTACCTGCTGGATGAACTAGTGTTGACAAATGATAATACAACCATTTCTTTACATTAGTCTGTTTAATAAGGGAATTGAGATGATTCCGTAATTATGTTGACTGAGGGCCTTAGGACTACAACACTTCACTTTTTGCTACTGCTGTACACTGTTGATAAATACTGGGCTGTACTGGTCCCAGGATATATATCTCGGTGCCCTAAAAAATTTCCCCTCGCAATTTTTTCACTGTGGCTTGTTTAACCTTTAGCCATCACACACACACACACACACACACACACACACACACACACACACACACACACACGTGATTAGTTACTCGTGTTGGAGTGTGCACAGTGCAGTGTTGAAGAAGGAGGAGGCGGAGGAGAGAGGGGGAGGCAGCGGGCCGTGTAATACAGCGTCAGGACACAGTCTCCAGCACACACTGGGCCGCCACCCATGAAACTGGAAATGTAAATATAGATGTGTGTGTGTGTGTGTGTGTGTGTGTGTGTGTGTGTGTAAAGGACACATAATTTTGCCACCTTCTCCCACACACCCACGCTATACCTCAAACACCACCATAGTTTATGCAACGTGGATCACCAGGAGTAAAGACGACGCTTTCAATAATATCATTATCGATAATTAGTGTAGGTTACCGAGGGAGAGAGGGAGGAGGGTGGGACGGCGGGAGAGAGGGAGGAGGGTGGGACGGCGGGAGAGAGGGAGGGAGGAGAGAGGGAGGGAGGACAAACCCTCTCATATCAAAATACTTTCAGGAAATCCTTCCTTCTTTTCATAATAATTATATCGTCGACAGTTTAAAATTGTATAACTAAGAAGTAGTGGTAAAGTCTTAAGCAGGATAAGAGCTGATAAAAGATAAGATAAGGAACCTGTGATATATATATTTATCAGTGGTGAGGAATTATCGTGGATGGTGACCAGACTCTCTCTCTCTCTCTCTCTCTCTCTCTCTCTCTCTTCTCTCTTCTCTCTCTCTCCGCCTTTATATCAATTTCCTTCTTCTAATTCCTAACCTCCTTATTCTCTCTTACTTTCCTCCCCAACTATCTTCTCTCGCCTCTCCCTTCACTCCTTCCCTGACCATCACTCTTACACTCTCTCACCTCCTCCTCCACCACCACCAGGGGGACAGCTCTGATCCACACCTGCACAAACTACGTCATCCACACCTGTTATTGGGCCACTCACATGTGCAGCGCCGAGTCGATCCCTCTAGCACCAGCGTCACTCACTCACCCAGTACTAGTGTGACCCTTCACCAGTGCCACACCTCACCCCACTCACCTGGTTGTAATTAATAGATTACCTGTACCTGTTGAAACTAAATAGAGTGAAAAAAATGAAACGTTGAATTGCTATGTACTTCCGAAAATCAATTAGAGTATAGAAACGAAATATTCCACAGGTGTTAAGTTTGACCTTCGTTATACCATCGTACCGACACCTTAACTAGCACACCTGGCTCTACGTAGTGGCATACCTGTGCATGACTGATCGGAAAATAGTGAGAAAACCCTTGAAACATTGACTTGCTGGATATGAACGAGGCACTAACACTGAAAAATACAAGGCTGTCTAGGTATTGGCTGTGAATATCCCTACACCACAGTACCACACCTGAACTAGCACACCTGGTTCTAATTTAGTGACATTCGTAACAAAAACTGTCCTTGAGGGTCAAAGTTGTCGTTGCTGGCACTACCTCCACAGCGTCATACCTGGCCTACCTGGCTCTAATTAGCAGCCTAGGTATAAGTCAGACCAGAAGAAAAAAATCAATTGGAAATCAAGTGCTTGGTCCTCCCTGAGTGACTACGTGTGTATCTCAGCTGACAGTGGTAAAAGTCTTTCACTATCTGATTTCTTTCTGTCTGTGTCTGTCTGTCTGTCTTTCTTTCTTTCTTTCATTATTTATTTATTTATTTATGGACACTAATTTATTCTGGCTAATCTCTCAGTAATTACGACTCTGAAAATTTAACATAGGCTCACAGGATCTAATTTCAATCTCATTTATTTTTATACAAGACAATTCCTTAATACATTATTAATAGAAAGTATTTATAAAGTATTTAGAATCATATAAATCTTATTCAATATTATAAGAAATTTAATAAAACAAAAATAAAATTATAAAAGCAAAAGACTATCTGCATCATGGCACGAGAGCTCATCAAATAATTACTTGGAGTATTGAACAAAACATTCCATTGATAGAGGAAAAAAACAATGCGTGTTCACCGTTGATGAGTTGAGTATCATTATGAATGCTGTAAAGTCACTGTATGATAGAAAGTGAAGCAGTGATGTTACAGGATACAGAACAGTGAATATGTATGATGATGATGATGATGATGATGATGATGATGATGATGTAGCTGTGAAAGTGAAATATGTTAAGGCAGTGAAATAGTTGAAATTTTGAGAATAGAAAGTAGACAAGAGAGAAGCAAAGTATTTTATATCGTAGATTAGTGAGCATTTAGCAGTGATGTACTTTCTCTCACTGCTCATGTACTTTCTCTACTTTCTCTCACTGCTCATGTACGTTCTCTACTTTCTCTCACTGCTCATGTACTTTCTCTCACTACTACGGAAGTCGTATGTGTTGACAGAGAGAGTGAGTGCAGTGAGACCTGAGTGTTTGTTATCAGTGAAAGAGTGACATATGTCATTGGGGAGGAATTTAACATAAGGATATCGAGGAAGTTGTGTTTATCTGTTTGTAATTGTGTTTGTTTTGTGTGTGTGTGTGTGTGTGTGTGTGTGTATAGGGGTCAACCAGCATACACCAACCCGCATGATAGTGGGTTTCTCTCTCCTCTCTACTTCCTTCCTTCCTTCCTTCCTCCCTTCCTCCCACCATCATAAAGACACACCTTTAATAACCATAAAGTTTAGATCACAACTGTACAATAAATATATCCTCGTTCAAATTAACACTTCAAGTCCACACATACATGCAATGCAAGACACACACACACACACACACACACACACACACACACACACATAAAACATCAGAAAGCAATATATAATTTCAAAAGTGCTTCATCGACTTGCTGGCACCTTGTTCTTGGCGCCTCCTTGACAGACAGACGTAGTTCAGGGCAGTTATGATACTCTCTCTCTCTCTCTCTCTCTCTCTCTCTCTCTCTTTGTGTACCAAGCGTGGCGTCACCTGCCCTTCACCTACATTCCTCCCCCCCCACCCCCATCCTCTAGTGAACCAGAACAAGTGCTCAACACCTGTACACCTAATCTGACTCACCTGTCGCTCCCACACATGTTATTGTTATTGTCTCAGTTGTTGACGGTGTTGGCTATAGTGCAGTGTCTCAGTCCGTGCTGGTGTTGGTAACGGTGTGTGTGTTAGTCTTACATGCATATAGTGCAGTATGTTGCCAGTTGGTGGTTGATGCTGGTACTAGGTGTTGGCAACAGTGATGAGACCTATGTATATGGTAATGTTTTGTGGTAATTATCGGTGTTGGTAACAATGTGTGTCACTCTTCTATATGTAGGTTGATGGGGCACTAGGGGTTGGTAACGATGGTATTCTTACGTTCATTTTGCAGTTATGGTAACAATGTCGCACTCATTCGAGGGGATAACAGTGATGTGTGTGTGTGTGTGTGTGTGTCTGTTCAACATTGCGTGTAGATGTGTGTGTGTGTGTATGTCTGTCCTGCATTACGTGTGTGTGTGGGGACGAAGGTGTGGGTGTGAGAACAGGGGGCACAAATGTTTGAACCATCGACCTTTGACACCTGCCTCCTGGCCCCCCTCACCTGGGCGATCACCTGCGTGTACTGCTAATTGGATTTTGGGAAGGTCGCCACTTGGACCACGTGACCAGTGACGTCAGAAGGTTCACAGCTGATTCCTAAAGATTATCGAGTGTAACGTGAGACTCTGTGAACTTAAAGTGAACCTCCTAAGGGAACATGATGAACGCCGTATGGGTTTAATGAACGCCTTGAGAGTGAAAACCTTTTAAGCATAAAGCAAGTCCTTGAAAATAATCGGAACGCTATGATCGTAAAGCGAGCGTCGTGAACAGCAGACTGCCGAGAGTTGCACTTAAATTCTAACTGACAATTCCTTTAGCACTTGATTTACTGTGTGTGTGTGTGTGTGTGGTCAGCATCCTCGCCTTGCAAGCGAGCGGACCCGAGTTCGATCCCCGGGCAGGGTGAAACTATGTGCAAGTTTCTTTACGACATTTGCCTCTGTCTACCCAGCAGTAAGTGGGAACCTGGATGTTAATCGATTTACTGATCGTATTCCGGGGTAACGGTTAGCCAGTGCAATTGGCGAGTTGTCCGGTCTTCTCGGACTATTCCTTGACACTGGGTCATGCAGCTCGTTAACTCAGGATGTGGTTGTGGTGTTGGCGACAGCTTCTACACCTTCAATAAATTCACGCCTAGGTGGACCTTGGGCTGACCATCCTCGTCACACGAGGGGCAGCCATTATCATTCTATTAGTGTGTGTGTGTGTGTGTGTGTGTGTACAAAGATTTCATTACACTAACAAATATTCTCTTACAGATAATATTATGTTATTAACTTAAGTTCCGTGACGTCAAAGAGAAGGTCTGTTTTTTGCGGCAAAATCCCGAAACATCAACATTGCACACAGGCAGACGCAACAATGAACACCAGTATGTTAAGTGAGTCAAGTTTGCAGCAGTGGTGAACGTCAGTGTATATCTCACGTAGTGAAATTTGGTGAAAACCTGTCCTTCAAACGTGTTGGTGAAAGTGAATTGTGAAAAACAGTGTCGTATTTTATAACGTTAGCTGATCAAGGGTGATTTTGAAAAGCTAGATAACTATAACTTATAAACGTTATATTGAAATAGTTCTACATTATAACAAATGATGTTGACAATAAGTACATTTTACGAGTACATCTGAAGAAAAAATCGTAAATTAGTACAGAAAATTGAAGATAAGTGCCACTGTGTACATGTGATGGTGCCTGAATGAGGTGTGTCTCAGGCCAGGAGCTAAGTGTCCTTCCACCATGAGTGTCGTGGCCACTACAGGTCAGAACGGCGGCCCCAGCCAGCTCCACCAGCTCTTCAGGACGTGTGATAGAGAAGGTGAGTCACTGAGTCATTGAGCCCTTAGTCACGGCATCTTTACTTTTATTTCAGATTAGATGCTTCACTCGCTGTAACACAACCTCCTCCTCCTCCTCCTCCTCCTCCTCCTCCCCCTTCTCCTTTGTCCCTCCATGTTCTTGTATTTCCCTTTACACCTTCTCCTACTACAAGGTGTACCATGACGCTCCACACAACCGAGCTCCTCCACACCCACCAACCAACCACTCGACCCCGTGTTCTCTCATTCACGGACTCAGTTGCTGCTTCCGGGATATCCATTCACCTCACTTTTGATATCAATAAACCAATAAATTCCTCTCTCTCTTAGAGTCACATTACATGAACTTTAATACATCAAAACACTACAGCTGTATCTAACATTTGATCATCTCGGAGAGCAATTCAGGCGTTATTAACCTCATCCGATATTACATAAAAATAAAGGAAATTACTTTACTTGAAGCTTTGCAACTCTACACATATTAGTTTTTGTTTGGCTGGATTTTCATGGGTGTGAATTAGGCTCCGAAAAATATCAAAACAATGTGTCTGATTCTCTACATTGAACACAGGCAAGGGTTTCATCGTCGAGGAAGAGTTGAGAGAATTGTGTTCGAGCCTCGGCATCGCTGCAGACGATTCGGACATCATCTTCAGCGACCTCGACCAAGACCAAGACGGGAAGATTAGCTATACAGAGTTTTCCAAAGGATTCACAGAGTTCCTTAACCCTGGAGTCGAAGCCCAAGTCACCAGGAGGTTCTCGACATGGTGAGATTACATACTGTACTCACCAAGGACTTGTACATGCACTCCTAGATTAATTTTATGAATAGATATATACTTTGATAATAATAGTAGTAGAGAGAAAAAGTAGTAGAGAGAAAGTAGTAGAGAGAAAAAGAAAGAAAACTCTAACATTACCTCCCCTCAGGAACAGCTTGGAGACGGAGATGGAGGAGGGAGTAAAGGAGGTGGAATGCAAACGAAGAGAGAGCGTCTACCAAGCATGGAGCTGTCTCACCTCCAGCCTCACCCAGCTCACGAAGACCAACATAGCGGCTGAGAGGTGAGTGAGTGGGAGGAGTGGGGAAGGAGTGAGAGGGGGTTTAGTGGGCTAGGGGAGGAAGTTAAAGGGCTGGGAGAGGGAGTGAGAAGACTGGCAAAAAGTGGGAGAGGAATTGAGAGACCTGGGAGAGATGAGGTAAGGTGAGAGATGACTTGGAGAGACGGGGAAGGGAGTAAAATGGGAGAGGAGGTTAGAGAGAGAAAGTAAGAAAGAAGGGACATAAGAAAGAGAGAAAGAAAGAAAGAGAGAGAGAGAGAGAATGCCTAATATCTGAATATTTATTATCTCTACCTTCGTGTATTACAACTACACACACACACACACACACACACACACACACAATAAAACGCAGGTAAAACATGCGATCAGCTAGTGTCTGTCGTCTTGTTTACAGATACACACAGACGCACACATATACATACAGACACACATGGTTACATACAGACACATACGAGAATAGACATTCAGACACACACAGACACATACAGACACACACGCAGACACAGACACTCAGAGAGACACACAGATTTAGACACACACAGATGAAGAGATAGGCAGAGGGACAGAGAGAGAAAAGAGAAAATTAAATAACTGTTGGCAGTGACAGATAGAGGGAGAGAGAGAGAGGAAATGATGATAAATATAGGAGGAACAAAAACTGATAAAAAACAACGAATGAAATAAATAACAGAATAAATGGTAAAATTAAAATGAACAAAGAGAAACTATAAAATAGGAAATAAAAGAAATTTCTTGAATATTTGAAAAAAAATTTCTTCAATACAATTTACAGAAGATAAATTTATAATAAATTACTTTGGGAATTTCTGTAAAACTCATTGATCATTGTATCGGATTATTGTTATTATTTTCGAATTATTTTGATATTTTATAATATTATATGATTGTTATTGGTTATAATTATCATAATCTCCATATCTAGGTTACAGAAAATAATTATTGATGTTGCTGTTGTTATTGTTATTGTTGATGATGGTGTTATTGTTGTTGCTATTATTGTTGTTATTGTCGTTGTTGTTATTATAGTTGTTATTGCTGTCGTTGTTATTATTATTGTTTTGTTGTTACTATAAAATGCGTGTCACTATTTACACCCAATAATGGTGATATACGCGTATACTGAATTATACCTCACGAATATATTTAGCATGGCGTGTTAAGAATATATCACGGTGGTCAGGGAACCGAGTGAACAATCCTGGTGTTACGTGACGCCAGCTATCCTGCCTCTGGGTCATGTTGTAGTCGATACATACATACATACATACATATACCACACACACACATACACACACACACACAGCCAATACCATGGACACCCACGTTCTCATAAATACAGTTGTGAATATATGAAAGTATGCTTGAAGTCCATTTGTCCTTCTGTCGGGGTGTAAGTAAAGACTCTCTCTCTCTCTCTCTCTCTCTCTCTCTCTCTCTCACTAACCTACCTCCTCCCCCTCCTTCCCTTCCTCCCCCCTACCCCCCACCACCATGACTCCACCCCCCGACCCCCACATGTGTACAGGTGTGCATTAACATACCTGTGAGGGCACCACTTCAGCGCTATTCTGAAACTATGACATCAATTTGATCACCTGAGTGTAAGAGTTCCCTAGCCTTGTATTAGAGAGAAAAATAAGAAGGGTTATACATTGATATATGATTGGGTGAATTAGGATTGTATTGTCTGTCTGGATGGATGGATGGATGGATGGATGGATGGATGGATGGATGGATGGATGGATGGATAGATGGATAGATGGATGAGTATTTTCTATGTTTTTTCTCTTGCTTTGTTGTTTATCTTTATTTATTCGTTTTTCTCATTTTCTCTTTATCTATATTTCTCTCTCCATCTCTCGTTCCTTTTTTTTTTTTACTTTTCTTTCTCTCTCTTTAATATTATCTCTCTCTCTCTCTCTCTCTCTCTCTCTCTCTCTCTCTCTCTCTCTCTCTCTCTCTCCTTTACTTCCATAATATCCCTCGTGTGGCCATCCGTGTCTCACCTGGCTGGGTTGTGACGATATTTACAGGTGTGTTTGGCCAGGTGTTCTCATCTACGTGTCCCACATCTCTCTCTCTCTCACCCCCATTTCTATCGATCCCTACCCCTCCTACTTCCCTCCCTATTCTCACTCCCTATTTTACCCTCCCATTCTCCACCTAACTCTCCTCACCTACTTAACCACTCCCCACCCACTCTCCATCTCCCCCTCTCCTCCCACTCCCCACTCACTCTCCACCCTCTCCCCTCCCCCACTCACCTCACACTTGCGTTTCTCATGACTCACGACTCATAAACATCAAACTCCAATAAACTGAATTACACTCCTGGCTGCCACTGGACATCAGAAGTTTTACTGTACGTGGGGTGTACTTTTTTAATGTACGTGGCTGCCCATTTTACTGTACGTTGCTGCCTTTTTTTACTGTACGTTGCTGCCATTTTTACTGTACGTGGGTGTCCTTTTTTACTGTACTTGGGTGTCCTTTTTATATCCTGAGTCGTGTTTCATCTCTATATTATACCATGATTGAACTCCTTCCATCCTGCCTTCTTGGGTTCACTGAAGGTGTTGACAATCGCCTCAATCCTGATCCCTTCGAGGAACATGATATTTGACACACTATTCATATATAAGTTACAGAGGAAGATGAAAGTGAATTGCCCAGTTTGATGTGAGAGAGAGAGAGAGAGAGAGAGAGAGAGAGAGAGAGAGAGAGAGAGAGAGAGAGAGAGACTATCATAAGCACCAGAAAAGTGAAGACAAAAAAATAAGATTCGTTTTGTCTTTGAGTCGAACAGATAGAGAGACAGACAGAGTGAGAAAGAGAGGGTGAAATAGATAGAAAAATAAACCCACAGACAGACAGACAGAGACACATGTTGCTATTTCTGGACATGAGAAACACCTGGTTATCAATGTACTAGCTTTTTAATGTGAGACACGGGTAAAGTGACTCATCCACACCTAACATGAGTCACCAGGGTCGGTCTTGTTGCGTAGAAGTATGTCAGGGTGTTAATATCTAGTGTGACCTTCATTGCTAAATCATTCCTCTTTCCATTCCTCCTCTTCCGTGGTTTAGTCTTCCTGTTTGACGTCATGTTGTTTAATCTGAGCCTCTGTCTCTACCACCCACCACCAGCATGTACTGGCCTATAAGGTACTTGATGGTATGCGATACGCTACTGGCCTCTTCCTTGTAGGTTCATTGTCATTCCATTTTGTGCCTCGCCTCTCTCTCTCTCTCTCTTACCTTTCACCCCAACAGACTTTTTAATCAATCTCTCTATCTGTCTTCTCACTGAACAATGTCCCTCCACGTCTCTTATTATTTATATCTTTAACACGGAGATTTATCGTGTGTGTGTGTGTGTGTGTGTGTGCCACAGCTTAAGTAGTTTACATGGGTGGTGTTCATCCCTGGACAACAACGTACACCTGACATACTCTATATAACATCTTTGACATGTGACACACCAGCCGCCGAGAGTTTTGTTTGTGCTAGATACATTAATGTACACCTGCCAGACACCTGTGTATTGGTGATGAGGAACGCTGCTCACACTTGTGGTACGGTGTCCATGTTGTTATTGTTCTCGACATACAGGTGTTTACTGGCAGTTTCTAGAGCATGTCGGATAACTTGATCGCATTATTTGGATGACGTCATAAGTGTTAGAGACAATAAATTGGGCACAAAGTATCACTTTCAAAAATTGGTAGAGGCTTTTGTCCTCAGCGTCTACAGCATACCAGCCAATGACAAGGTTGTGTCTGATTGACTTCCTACTCACCGTCAGCATATGATTGGCTCAAAAGTACGTTTACATAATATGTTGCCAAACAAGTCTTAACAATTTATTATTTTATCTCAATACCTGGCAATAGAACAACCCGAGAATAGTGACACATAAGTAGAGGAGATAAGATTAAACTTACTGGGAACCAAAGCCCAAAAGCTAGCAATTTATCAGGAACACAACTTCTCTCCACCAGTGGTGCCCAAATCAGGGAGTTGCTGCAGGACCTGGAGACATCCACAGCGCCCCTGGACGTGGCCAGCCGCGTCAGCACGGTGCTCTCCACACTACTGACAGAGATCCAACATCTGCAGGACCACCACCACAGCCTGGAAAAGCTCTACCAGAAGTAAGTGATAGTTCGTCTGACTGTCTGAATCACTTAGAGGTCGACCTGATAAGGTGTTTCATTTTGCTTGAGTTTCCCTTGTAGTCTCTCCATTTTCTATGCCTCACTAACGTTTTCTTTCGTTGTTATAATAATTCATGGATGATATTCTTTATAATTTACGTTTTCTTCGGTGGGTTTATAGTGCAAGAATTCGTCTACTTGTTGTGTTTTCATTTTCATTCCAGTTCTTAAGATTCTGTGCCTATTTATGTGTAATTTTTTTATTGTAACAGCGATCGTTTACAATTTTAGGGACTTTGTGACTCCTACAAAAAATCCACATTCCCCAGAACACCACACACACCTCCCTCTACAGTACACTATACACTTCCACAACCACCATACAATCTCCACACCACCATACACCCTACAAAACACCATACTCTCCCCCTTTACAGTACACTATATACTTCTACACCACCATACACTCTCTACACCACCATACAAACTCTCTCCAGCCCCATACATCCTCACTGACAGTCCACTATGGTGTTTCCAGAGAGAGGGAACACCATGCCACGGCCCTCAAGTCGCTGGAGAGTGAGTTGGAGGACCAGGTAGCCAAGGTGGAGGAGAAGGCGAAGCAGAAGGCGAGGCAGGAGAGTGAGGATGAGAAGCGGCAGCTACAGGACCAGATGGACCAAGAGATGGCTGAGCTGCAGACCCACCTGAAGATCTTCCAGAAGGTGAGAGAGAGAGAGAGAGAGAGAGAGAGAGAGAGAGAGAGAGAGAGAGAGATAATAGCTAGTAATTATAGAGAAAGAGGAAGAGAGTGAGATACCATCGATAATCTCTCTCTCTCTCTCTCTCTCTCTCTCTCTCATAACCTAACCAAATCACCCTTCCCTACACCTTCCATTATCCCCCTATCCCCTTCCACATCACTTCCTTTCCCTCTCCTCACCTCTCTCACCTCCCTCCACAGGTAGACTCGTGGCTGAAGAAGGAAGATGGAGAAGGCGTAGACAGAATGCAGGAGGTGAGGAGGAAGTTAGAGGAGGCCTACCACGCTAATCGCACCTTGAACATGACCCTCAACGAGACCACTACTAACCTGGGTCTAATGAGGTCTGACATGGCCCAGATGAGGCTACAGTATGAGGAGAAGTGTCGGGAGTTACACAAGTGAGTGGTGACCTTTGAGGCTTCAGGGTGAGATAGCTCTCTCTCTCTCTCTCTCTCTCTCTCTCTCTCTCTCTCTCTCTCTCTTGTAATTACTTCCATCCATAGTCATTAGTCATGCCACTTATAATATTGTGGGGTATGGGATTGTTTGGTGTTCACACTCAGGATGGAATGGAGAAAGGAAACTCACAATGTGCTCTCTATATACATGTTGTATTGGATGTACAATGCAGCTTGGTGCTGGGAAGGCAGCATGGTTACAAGCGTGATGTAGAGAGAGCTGGTTGGTGAGGACGCTCAGAGAAGGACAGCTTGTGGGTCGCCATGCTCGCCAGCGGGAGAGAGGACCGCCAGGCAGGCGGAGGCCGCCAGGCAGGCGGAGGTGTTGCTGGCTGGTTGGTGTAGGTAGAAAGAGAGACAGATCACCACGAGGTCAGGTCTTAAATAGCGGGGGTAGGCGTGGCTTAGCAGTTGACCCCCGCTCCGTGGTGTATGGCGGCGCTGGTTGACCTAGACCACGAGGCATACACTGGGGAATTGGTGGGGTCGGCTAGGCAGCGACAAACAGCGTTTGTAGGGGAGAATTCCACTACAATATCCATTCCATGTATATTATTTCATTGATAAACAAACCGTGACGTCACTAAAGCCTTCTCTAACCCGTTTTCTATCATACAGTGAACGGGAGACTGTGCTAGAATACATGCACCAGTACGACCACATGAAGAGGCAGTTGGAACTATTACAGTGAGTGTTTGAACGTTTCTCTTGTATTGTGTTTATGTCTAGTATATATGTATGTATGTATGTATGTATCATAAGTATGCACCCAAAGAGTTCCTAGGGAAGAGGAAGTAGGTTAGGTTAGGTTAGGTTAGATTAGCACTAGACTGTTTGATCGTCAGGTGAAATAAATTGGGGTGTCTAATATTCAGTTGATCCATTAGACGTACAAGATAACTAATAGTCTCTCTCTCTCTCTCTCTCTCTCTCTCTCTCTCTCTCTCTCTCTCTCTCTCTCTCCTCTCTCTCTCTCTCTCTCTCTCTCTCTCCCTCTCTCCCCCTCCCCTCTACAGCGAGGCCAACAAGAGGCTCCAGGATACCAACGACAGTATGAGGTCTGCCGTGGAGCATGAGTGGAGGAGATCCCCCATAGGGTCCCGATGCTCCAGTACACGATCCTCACTACACAGGTCCAAGGAACGGAAGAGGAGTCACAGGTGAGAGGAGAGGTAGGAGGGGAGAGGAGGGAAGAGATGGGGGTATAGGTGTGAGGGAGAGAGAGAGAGGAGGGGAGAGGTAAGGGTATAAGTATGAGGGAAGGAGAGATAGGAATGGGTAGGATACAGGGGAGAGAATGGAAGAAAGAGATAGGTAGAGAGAGAGAGAGAGGAAATGGGGGTAGGAGTCCAAAAGAGGGAGAGGGAGAAAATGTGATAAAGAATGAGAGGAGGAAGTGATTTTACCTCTGCAGTTATAGAGAGGATAAGGGAATAAGGAGAAGTAGGGAGTAGGAGTTAGTGAGAAGGGAAACGGTATGAGGTGGAAAAGAAAACAGATGGATTTGTTTTATTTACTTTTTGTTACTACATGATACACAGAGAGCAAATAATGATAATGATAATAATAATAATAATAATAATAATAATCATAATCATAATCATAATTATAATCATAATCATAATCATAATAATAATAGACCTTGCCTTAGAACTACTTCCATATTATGTTACACCAAAACAAAGGAGCATCCCGAGTGGTACAGACTGGCTATAATAACCATTACTGAAATCAACATTTATGACTCCCTGAAACTAGTGTAACTGTCATATGAGCATTGCCCCTAATACAAACTGTGTCTTGAGCATTGCCCCCTGCCCCTTATACCATTTTGACACACACACACACACACACACACACACACACACACACACACACACCTAACGTCTGATATGACTCCTAAACTCTCTCGCCTCCCCAGGTCTTGCTCTATCTCCACCTGTGATTCAAGGTAAGGCCCTAGGTAGCCTGGTAATTATCAACCTACCTATTTGCCTTCTCTCTGTCATCTGTTAATAAACTTGCCATCCTACCGCACTTAAATATTGAAAATATCGTAGTTGATCATAAAATTTGTCGTTTTCTTTCAGTCGTTCTCGGTCTCCTCACCCATCCATTCTCTCTTCCTTTGAAAGTGATGGGGGACTCAAGTATGGTATCCGGCGCCTTATGGATGACCTGGGTAAGGCTTCGTGTAATACCTTGATATAAGTCTTTAATGAGGTAATATATTTCCTCGTTTGTATTCAACTATAATGGAGCATAAACTTATAGGTATATATGTACTCCCTAACTTAACTTATCCTAACTCAAATTTATCCCAAACATCATCTAACTCTATCTAACTAACCCACAGATAAATGACACTTACACTTTATTAACACGTAAACTTTACTTAATTGACTACTTAATAAATACCTCCACTCCAAAAAGACCTCAAACTTTAACCACACGAACACTTTACTGAATTTAACCACTTTATAAACACTTTTCACATATCCAATGGCACTTACACTGTCCTATAACCTTATTAACACCTGTATAATGATGATGTTTCACTTGACACTTGCCGATGGTCATAAAAAAAGAGTAAAAATCGGGCATATTGCAGACTCCGGCCACTCCACACTCCCAGACACCGCTGAGGAAGGCTGCAACACCCAGGATGAACTCAAGCTGTCAGAGAACGAGGGCCCCTTATCGGTGAGTGACACGAATAGGGGGGAGTAGCGAGTTACCTGGGGGAAGTAGTAAGTAGTACGATCGAGTGGAAAGTTGGTTGGGGAAGTAGTGAGTTGTTTGATCAAGTGGGAAGTTGGTTAGTGAAGTAGTAAGTAGTTTGATTAAGTGGAGAGTTGGTTGGGGAAGTAGTGAGTAGTGCGATCGAGTGGGGAAGTGACAGACTATTGGGAGAGTGACAGGTAGGTAGAAAGTGACAAACAGTTGAGAGAGTGTCAAGATGCTGGGAAGTGACAGACGATTGGGAAAGTGACATGTTGAAATAGGAATTGGTAAGTTGCATGAACATAGAACCTTTGATAGGAATTCCCAGAAGTTGACAATCAATGTAAATCTCACTTTACATATCTCTCTACCTGTATGTTAACTCTCTCTCTCTCTCTCTCTCTCTCTCTCTCTCTCTCTCTCTCTCTCTCTCCAGGTTGACATACAGTGAGAAGTATCTATCTATCTATCTATCTATCTATCTATCTATCTATCTATCTCAAACGTCCCCCTCACCAGCTGGAAGAGGAACTACTTAGCCTCGAGTCACCTTCGCCTCCCGCTACACACCAGCCACAGACGGACGTGATGTTAGCTACACTCAGGCCTATCGACGGCAACACCCAGGGAGTCTCCAGCCCGCCTACACCCACGCCCCCGCCCATCTTGGAGGTCAACACGCCCCCGCTCAAGCCCAGGAGGGTGAACCAACTTGTCCCCCCCACCGAGAGGAACGGTGGAAGGTGAGGTGGTGTTGTTCTTGTTGATGAGTTCTCTCTCTCTCTCTCTCTCTCTCTCTCTCTCTCTCTCGTTCTCTTATTCTCGCTCTCTCTTATTCTCTCTTATTCTCTCTCTCTCATATTCTCTCTTATTCTCTCTCTCTCATATTCTCTCTCTCTCTCTGATCTGGGTTTCGTTTTTTACGTGTGTGTGTGTGTCTGTGTCATACAACCATACACATATATTTTCTCTACCTAAAGTCTAAACGTACCTAGCTCCTATTTGTCTCTCCCTACCTATTGTTCCCATCCATATTGTTAACACCTCTCACTTACTCTCTCTACCTCTCCCTTTATCTCTCTCCCTCTCCCTCACTTTCTCTCATCTCCCTCGCCCTTCCATTGTATTTCATTTTACACCATTCTTCATCACCCCTTGACTCTGCTCTTATTACATTCACTCTATTTAAATTCTCCTTAAATTATCGCTCTCCCTCTCTCTTTCTCTTTCTCTCAGTCCTCATCGCTACTCTCACCCCAGCCCTCACCACTTCTCACCCCAGCCCTCCTCTCCCCCATCATTCACCACCTCTCTCACCCCAGCCCTTCTCTCCCCCAGCGTCTAGCCTACCTCTCTCTCCTCCCTCCCCACCACCTCTCTCCCCCAGCCCTCCCCTCTCCCCCACCATTCCATCTCTCCCCCACCTCTCACCCCAGCCCTCCTCTCCCCCAGCGTTCCACCTCTCACCCCTAGCCCTCCTCTCCCCAGCCCTCACCCCTCTCTCACCCCAGCCTCCTCTCCCCAGCCTCACCACCTCTCTCACCCCAGCCTCTCACCCCAGCCCTCCTCTCCCCCAGCGTTCACCACCTCTCTCACCCCTAGCCGTCCTCCCCCAGCCCTCACCACCTCTCTCACCCCAGCCCTCCTCTCCCCCATCATTCACCACCTCTCTCACCCCAGCCCTTCTCTCCCCCAGCCCTCAGCACCAGGTGTCTTCAGGAATGAGAACCAACAACTACGAGGCCTTGGGGCCCCCTGAGAGAACCTATAAAGTGGTGTTTGCCGGAGACGCAGCTGTCGGCAAGTCCACCTTCATCGTCCGTCTCTGTCGTGGCTGCTTCGTCATTAACATCGCTTCCACTCTTGGTACGTCCCCATTGGCCTTTATCCTCTAAAAGTCCGGATATTGGTGTTTTTTATCTAACGTAAGTCCAAAACACTACGCCTCTTCCTCTCCCTTCCATATCAAGTCCAAAAATGCCCCCCCCCCCCAAGACGAGTTAAAACAAGAATAAAATATTGTCTAATCCTTCCAAATTCATCAAATCTCCCAAAAATATTCCTTCCAACCAATAATATAATATCCCCCTCCTTCCTCCCTCTATACTAAGTCCAAAATATATATTACCAAAATAATATTGCCCGTTCATCCACCGCCCCCCCCACCCCCAACCTTACCTCCCAAGTCCCATCCTGACAAGTCTAAAAATATTCCACTAGTCGAGTCCTACGAATCAGTGAAGGCGGAGGATGTGAACTGAATAGGAACCGGTGGCCAATTTTCATATCTGTGAATTTTGGAAAAGATGGGAGAAGAGGAGATGGAGGATAGAGGAGGCATAGGGAGATTGAAGGAATGTGTGTGAGAGATAGAGAGAGATAGAGATTTTATGCTGAAGAAGAGATGGGAAGAAAAGAGATAGAGATTGAAGAATTGTCAGGGAGAGAAAAACAGGCAGATAGAGACAGAGACACACAGGAAGAGACAAAGAAACAGAGAGAGAGATAAAAAAAGGAGAGATAGAATTTTTTTTTAAGAAGAGGTGCAGGGGAGGGGAAGAGATGGGAAGATTGAAAGATTGTGTGTGTGGGAGAGAGAGAGAGAGACTATAAATGTTTTAGAAGAAGGAAAAGAATGGAGAGGAGAAAAAGAAATTGAAGCAACATTTAATAATTGATTTATTGTGCGAGTGAGAGGAATGGGAAATAACGAAAAGAACGAATGAGGAAGAATGGAAACTGAAATCAGTATATATCTATCAAATATTGAAAGAAAAAATAACATAGGAACGTGTGAACTCAATTCTCCAATATCACTTCATATTTATATATGGAATCGTATTAAAATTTCTCCCTCGACTTTGGGATAAACTTTTAGATAATTCCAAGGTTTAAACTTTAATTAACTTTCTATAACTTTTTTAATTCTACAATTTAGAATATATATATATATTTTTTTTAGGATAAATAACAGATGTTCATAGGATTTAATATAACTAGGCCAAACACATTTAAGATTATCATAGTTTGTCCTTCAAATAATTATATAATCATTTTCATTGACTACCAGTAACTAAACTATTCTGAATTTCTCTTTGCAGGTGTGGACTACAAGGTCAAGACACTTCATGTTGATGAGAAAAACATTGCCATCCAGCTTTGGGATACTGCTGGTGAGTGTGTGTGTGTGTGTGTGTGTGTGAATTTTTACATCCATGGTTAATTATGTTTAACAATTTCAAAGTGTATGTAGTAACTGTCTCCCCCACCCCCCCCTCTCTCTCTCTCTCTCCTCTCTCTCTCTCTCTCTCTCCCCCCACAGACCCAGACACAGACACAGACACACACACACACACACACACACATACTGTAGCCACCAGAAATCGTAAAACAAATCACACAAACGTTTTACTCTCCCAATCCACCTCGACCAGAGACAGACCCAACCAGCCCTCCCTCAGGTCACAAAAAAAAACCCACAGCCTCCACACGCTACAAATTATAGTCATCATCTTTGAAAGTGGTTCGAGGGATAAACGTTTCGAGGGAGTTAGAAACGTGAGGAGGGAGTTAGAGACGTTTTTGGGGAGTTAGAAACGTGAGGAGGGAGTTAGAGACGTTTTTGGGGAGTTAGAAACGTGAGGAGGGAGTTAGAGACGTTTTTGGGGAGTTAGAAACGTGAGGAGGGAGTTAGAAACGTTTAGGGAGAGTTGGAAACGGTTCGAGAGAGTTCGAAACCACAGATCCCTTACGTGTTGGGATCCTACTGGTGTAAAAAGTGTTTGGTTTCCATTGGGTGTTGAAGTCTATTGATTCTCTGATGATAAGAAATATTCCACATTTGGCATTGTAGTAACCAATAGGCATACCTCTCTCTCTCTCTCTCTCTCTCTCTCTCTCTCTCTCTCTCTCTTCTGCTATTATCGTTTTTTGGCTTTGTCTCCCTCTCTATCCCATTCTCTCCCTCTTTCCGATTCAGTGATCTTACATTTTCCTCTGTCTCTTTCAACTGGACCGAAACATTCTCTCTCTCTCTCTCTCTCTCTCTCTCTCTCTCTCTCTCCATTCCTTCTGTTCAAAGACTTTGATTTCCCTCCTTTCTATTGCCTACGGACCTCTTATTTGAACTTTATTTTCTTGTCGAGTAACATCTGTGAAAATTTTTTACTGTCACTTTAAAAGGTTTGTGGCTATTTTCTGCTACTTTAGTATTTTCATGGCTATTTTCTGTTACTTTAAATCGTTTATGGCTATTTTATGTTACTTTAAGACGTTTATGGCTATTTTATGTTACTTTAAAACATTTATGACTATTTTATGTTGCTTTAAAACGTTTATTGCTATTTTTTGTAACTTTAAATTGTTTGTGGCTACTTTATCTTTCACTTTAAAGCATTTAGAATCTTGTGAATCAATCAAAAACGTTCATACTCTTGCCTCGTTCAATCAAAAACGTCCATTCTCTTGCCTCATTTGCCTCATTCCTCTCAGCAACGTTCATACTCTCCTCCGTCTCTCTTACACCCGCAGGTCAAGAACGTTTCCGCTCCATCACTAAGACGTACTTCCGACGAGCCGACGGTGTCCTTCTCCTCTATGACGTCACCAGCGAGCGTTCCTTCCTCAACGTCCGACAGTGGATCCAGAGTATTGACGTGGGTGTCTCCTGGAGGCGTGTGTGTGTGTGTGTGTGTGTGTGTGTTGATAGCGAACGTTGATGGCTTGTGTGTGGGTGTATGTGTGCGTGGGAGGGGGGTGACGTGATGTGTATTGGAAGTGTGTGTGTGGGTGAAAGTTGGTGGCGCGCGCGCGTGTGTGTGTGTGTGTGTGTGTGTGTGTGTGTGTGTGTGTGTGTGTGAGTGTCATATAGTTAGTATAATATATTATTCACTCGTGTAATAACTTCTTCAACCTTATACAGGATATTCATATACAAACATCACCACTATACAACATGAATAAAATGTATATCTATGTATTAATCACCCCGACTCACCATATAACAACCATTCATTTGTATATCTACGTATCAACACCAGTAATACACCTTCAGGAGGCGTGTGATTCCCGGGTGCCTCTGGTCCTGTGTGGTAATAAGATGGATCTACGTGTCGCGGCTGCTGCTGAAGGGAGAATCACCATCAGTAGTGCTGACGGTGAACGCCTCGCCCGAGACTGTGGTGCTTTGTTCCTCGAGACCTCCTGCAAGAGTGGCTTCGGCGTGTTGGAGGCCCTCGTACAGCTGGCTAGGTGGGTGGTAGTGGTGGTGGTAGTGTTTTTTCTTCATTTTTTGTCGTGTTTCCTTTATTCTCCTCTTTCACTTTTTCTTCCTTCGTTTGTCCCTTCTATCTGTACACCCTCCTGAGTCGCCTAGCCTCTCTCTCTCTCTCTCTCTCCTACAGGTAATCTTCTCCCATCTCCTACAGACAAATGGTCACTACAGAGGACGTGGAGGTACAGACGTCAGCCCTGAAGGTGTGCGCCTCTGAGGAGAAGAAATCCTGTTGTGGCACCAAGAAGGAGCGATGAAGGAACATGAATGTATGACGAAACACAAAAAACTACAGATAAATTAAGAAGAACTGATAAAGAATGAAAAAAATAGAAAGAAAATAAGACCCACGAAGGAAAATGTATTCATCTCATTTACTTTTCAATCTAATTAATTATGTATATTACTGATGCCTGACCTCTGACCTGCGGTAATGGGGTCAGTGATATGTTCCTCTCGTATAGATACTGACCCGATAAGCATGACGTTGTATATAATTCACTAGTCATTATCATTTAACATTCATTAAATACCATAGTCTCCCCAAAATAGAAAATATAAATACAGAAAATGGGAATGAAAGTAAGTGATCACAGAAAACGGAATCAACGAAGAAAACAATATGTATTGATGATTATGTAAATAAATGTCAAACTAAAATAAAGTACGATAATATAAATAGAGAGTAATAAGTGAAATAAGTCAACGAATGAGTGTGAAACGGAAATAAAAGTAAATTGAAAAAAAAAATTACAAACGAAGGAAGGAGTAGAAGAATAGTTATAAAATTCTCTCAATTAATGGACTTGTGAGTAAAAATATATATATGGGAAATTTTCTGTGCACGCCAAAAAAAAAAAACTACTAATCAAACGAATGACGTGAAATAAATTGTGTTTTTCTTAAGGAGTCAATTTAGGGTGTTTGTGCGTGTTTGTGTATATATGTCTGTCTATCCGTCTGTACTGTGTGTGTGTGTGTGTGTAAAGAAAATGTTCACAGCTTCAAACATGGTATCACACACACACACACACACACACACACACACAGGCTCCTACAAATATCATCTCTTTAACTGTGGACCCTTCAACAGTCTAAACACACCAGTCCTCTCTGTCCATAGGAGTTAACAAGGGGTAACAGTACTAAGAGATATTTACCCTGAAGTGTTAACAAAAGTAAACAATGATGACTAGAATAATGATGACGGACGTTGATATTGATGACGTTGACTATAATGAAGAATATATTTTATACACTGATATATTCATAAGTTTAAGATAATAATTTGATATAATGAATTGATATCTCCAGTAAGTTGATCAGCTTAATGTGATGCCTCTTTTGTGTATTAAGCTGACATCCATTTAGTTATAGCTGTTTGTCTGTCTGTCTGTCTGTCTGTCTGTTAGTTATATTCGTAAGATACAAAGTTGTGTTCACTATTATAATATTTTTTTCTTTATTCTTTTTACTGAGGAAATATTAAATAACATATAGGAATATCTATAAGGTTTAATATGCAATTTTTTGGTCATACATACATACATACATACATACATACATACATACATACATACTTCCCTATATTTACATCAAGAGTATTCTGATAATAAGAAATTTAACGCTAAATTAAAATGCATCTTCCAATTAACCTTAATTACCTGTTAATAACCTTCGAATGACCTCTCCCTTACCTGTCCATGACCTGAGGGGTATTTCAGGTCCCAGGTAACGAGGTAATATTTTTCATATCACAGTTTAATCAGGTTTTTTACAAGTTTTATTTATTTTATTATATTATCCCCTTTATTTTTATTTTGAGTTTATTCATTGTGATGTTTTAGCGATGTTGAGTAATTAATGTAAATTTATTTCATTTATTTGTATTGTAGTTGATGTTGTATGATGGTGAATAAAATGATGAATAAATCACTGGTGTTGTATTTTTATTTATTTTTCATTGTATTCATATCTGTCCAGTATAAGAGTAACATAATAATCACTAAGTCTTAATACGTCTGTTGTACATCATCTCAGACGTCACCTTGAGCTATAACGTCATAAATTGGGTATAGGGAAACACGTGTAAGCAAACTACTCCAACCAAACATTCATTCAGCCACTTTTAGTACAGATGTTGGTTTACCCTCTAAAACACTACCAAAGCTCGTTATAGTTACGGCCTCTGGGATAAACTGGCCAAGTTATTGAAGAAAATAACAAATTACCCACAAATTTATATACGTGGTTCAGGGTTGCCGACTACCTGGGCCCCTTGAGTAGAACGGGCAATTACCCTCCAAACCATCCTATTCAGTCATCACAGACCATAGCCAGGCCTGGGACCACCTATATATAAGACAGAGTTCACCATCCTCACCACTTGCCCCGACGACATGACGCGGGTCACAGCGGACACTTCTTACCTACTGGGGTCCAGTCAGTCCCGGGCACCACCACTCCTCTACAGTGTTTAACCGGTATGTGATGTACAATCAGGAAACAGTAATTGCTCCCCTCCCCCCTAATAGCCGGAGCCAGAGCCAGCGAAGGCAGAGCCAACAACAACATTTCTAAAGCTACCCAGCAACGTTTAGACGGGGAGGGGGGGAAGGGTATGTCCAATCGTCAAGCCTTCACTTACCGTGGCTCCGGCTGCTAGGGGTGGGGAGGGAGAGGGGAGGGGGAGGGGATAATTACGGCTTCTGACTGGATTTAATTTTATCATTCTTTAACTCGCTTATAATGTATCCAATGATTGAATTAATTTAATGGTATAATGTTTGTGTCAATGTTATTGTATATCAAGTATTTTGGGTCTGATGACGAGAGATATTTCCGAAAGCTCACCAGATAATTATGTTGTTTATTATCCAAATGTTAGTCATGTTAACTATCCCACATACATATATACACACTCATAAACACGCCTACACAAACAAACACAGTAAAGCGTAAACACACTCCCTCGGTGACACACACACACACACACACACACACACACACACACACTACTCGTAACACAAAAACTCGTGGTTGAAGCCTTTTTTATACTCGACGCCTGAGACTTCAATCCGATAACACGACCGTTCTCTGTTATTTCGGTCCTTACCCATTCCCTAAATGAGTGTTTATCGGAAGGCTCGTGGAAGCGTTCAGTTAGAGAGGACAGAGAACATCGTTATCGAGAGGACAATAAAAGTCTTCACCCCACAGGCAGGAGGGAGGAGTTGTTATCGGTAAGAAAATTAAAGCGACTCAAAAGACGGGAGGAATGAGGTTTTAATCAGAAGGACAATGGAAGTGTTTATTTAGAGACGAGGGAAGAGTTAAGAAACTAAGTATAAGGGAAAAATAAGAGAGCGAGAGTGCAACAGAGAAAGAGAAAGCAATAGAGAGAGAGAGAGAGAGACACGCCACTAACCAGGTAAAATTAGCTTATCGTCTTAATAATAAATAAGTAAACATATGACCATCTTCATTAAGTGGGTGGCAGTAGTGTGTGGCTTTAGTGGATGGCAGTAGTGTGTGGCTTTAGAGAGTGGCAATGACGTGGGTGGCAGTGGTGTGTGGGCTCTAGTGGGTGGCAGTGACGTGGGCAGTGGTATGTGGGTGGCAGTGACGTGGGTGGGTGGTGTGTGGCCGTGACGTGGGTGGCAGTGGTATGTGGCTCTAGTGGGGTGGCAGTGTGCTCTCCAGTGGTGTGGTGGTGTGTGGCTCTAGTGGGTGGCAGTGGTATGTGGCTCTAGTGGGTGGGTGTGGTATGTGGCTCTAGTGGGTGGGTATGTGGCTCTAGTGGGGTGGCAGTGGTATGTGGCTCTAGTGGGTGGCAGTGACGTGGGTGGCAGGTATGTGGCTCATTGCAGTGGTGTGTGGCTCTAGTGGCAGTGACGTGTGGCCCTAGTGGGTGGCAGTGACGTGGGTGGTAATGACGTGGGTTTGGAAGAGAGATGATGGTGTGGGCGGTGATAATTAATACACTGGGTGGTTCTGACTGACATAGTGGGTGGTACTAGTACACACAGTGGGCGGCGTTGACTGATACACTGACTAATATTCAAACTTTCAGTACAAAACACGACATAAATGACCACAGTAAATGAGAACAACTTATTTTACTTCAGTTCCCCAGAGAAGAAATTATATTGTTTACCATCGTTTTCTTTGATGTTATAATTCAACTAATGAGTGTTGCTACCTGTGTGAGGGATGTAGATAGCGTGAGATATGTGTTTATATTTCCGACGATGACTATTATACTTGTTTATGATGAAGAAAACAACAGAAAAACAAAAGCTCTGTATCTAATATACTATAGGAGTAGGCGTGTGTCTGTCTGTGTGTGTGCGTGTGTGTGTGTGTGTGTGTGTGTGTCTGTTCTGGGCAGCCGAAACGGCACAATCGTTTTTCATCAAACTTGGTGGAACAATCGCAAAAAAATTCGTAGAGTGGAACAAACCTGGTCCCATGTCGATGGTTTCTTTAGGAAGGCATTAATTAACAAATTTATTTACGATGAAAAACGATGCAAGTCTACGGACTTGGCGCACCCAAATTAACCATGCAAGTCTAAGGACTTGGCGCACCCTCATTCGCTGTACGCTGTCACGAGCGTTCAAACTCTCACAAGGGCACGAACGTGCCCGCGATCACTTGCATATGTTTCTATAATTGACACCCAGCATAACGTTCCCAGCTCACAAAACACGCCTCGGCAGTTCTTTTTTTTTTTTATTTATGTGTGGGGGCATTTCACTGTAAAAGGCCACAGTAGTTTCCAAGAATTTCTTTTCCTCCCCGTCTCCTCCTCTTACCTCTTCCTCTTTCTCTTCTTTCTTCTCCTCTTCCTTCTCTTTCTCATCCCCCCTCCCCTTCCTTCTCCTCCAGTGCCTATCGTTCACTCGTGGTGCAAAAACATTTGTGGTTAACTCAGCAACACTCAGAGAACCGCTTGACATTTCTTCCCGCTCGCTGAGGTGCTGAAGGTCTTGTAGGGTGACTCAGAGAACGAGGTTATGGCAGTAGTATTTTCCCTTAATATCATCAACACAATATCAAACCTGAGTATAATGAATGGGATAACTTTAATCATTGTGTACGGCGATAACTCTTTGATTATAGTAACTTTCCCCTTTGAGGACGTTATCTTCAATACTAAAGTTAAATTTTCAATTTTCCAAATTATTGATCTTTTGATATATGATCTGCCTATAAAAATGTAATTTATATTGTTCAATTTATTATGCATTTTTTTAATTTCTTTATATTATTATTATTATTATTATTATTATTATTATTATTATTATTATTATTATTATTATTATTATTATTATTATTATTATTATTATTATTATTACTATTATTATTATTATTATTATTACTATTAAATTATTATTATTATTATTATAATTATTATTAAATCATTATTAGTTTATTACTATTAATTTTTCTATTATAAATTTCTTACTATTACTATTACAGAACGATCCTACGCCGAGGATGATGATAGTGAAACGTGGGGAGAGGAGTCCGTAGACTTTTAGAGGTGAGTAGTGAAATGTGGATTGTGTTGCCGTAGACTTTCTCATCGCGCTGCCGCCCCGTACTGTATAGGGCGGGCGGATGACGTTCGTGTTGAAGTTTACAGTCTGCCTGGCAGGCCACTATGAAATTACGAAAAAAATATTAACTTTATATCTATTTTTAATAAGTTGCCGAGTAATTTAGACTGGATTTGTGTGCGTATTGGACGTTATATAGAAAGTAACATTGAGTCACTATGTATGGCCATTACTGTTGATATTGTGCGTGTGTGATGAGGTAGTTGTTCACATTCATATCCTTTACTGATATTTTATTTATTTTTACTCAAATAAAGATTTCAAGTATTATAATTAAGTATAATATCATACATAAACGATGAACTACAACGAGGAAACTAGTCATCCGTAACCACTCTAGGTACTGTCAATCCTCAGGTGTTTCATATACCTGATGGCTTCTTAAATGTTAATTAGTAGTTGTCATGGCAACTTTCCTCATACCGTCTCCATAGCAACACGTGTTCGTGTGAATGGCATATAATTAAGTTTCATTACGTAGGAAAAATAACTGGAGGCTGTTTGTTATTGTGTTGGTGACTGTTGTTTACAAGTGAGTTAAGGTAATTTACGTCGGTCTAAATGAACATTCTTGTGTACGAGTGTGTGTGAGTGATGATACTACCGCAGTCATTGTTACGCTGCAAGCTGAGTTATTTAGTCCATGTGGGGTCAGTTGATGTACCATTACCACATACAGTAGTAACCCGTAAGACCACAGATAAGCAAACCTAACTTAATCTAACCTGACCTATACTTCAGCAGTGTATTGTCCACAGTCCTGATATGTACGTTGAAGCGTTGAAGCCTCTCAAAAGACCGGACTGAAGCTGGCAAAATATAGTTACCGAGTTTTGTCAACAGATGGCGTAACTTGGGTATTCCAGACGCATTCCGAATCTCCTCTTATACGCCCGGTAACTTTTAATGAGATTCAAACTTATATAATGAGAACTTCCCCAGCAACAGGAATAGAATAGAACCCTTGTTTTGACTATAACATGGGGTCCGTTTCAGCAGTGTGTGTGTGTGTGTGTGTGTGTGTGTGTGTGTGTGTGTTTATGAAATTATGTGTGTTTGTAGGATAATTTATGTCTTTATGTGTAGTAATAATAATATTATTACTAATATTATTATTATTATTATTTACGGTATATAAAAGGAATGGCAGCCAAAATGCTGAAAATATGCTTACATAATAGGGGAATTGGTCACTTCATTGACAAATATACTAGTGATACAAATATGATATATAATAACAGGGGGGTGGGGGGGGAGGTCATACAACAAGGAATTTCAGCTCACCTCGTTAGCGAGCGGACCCG